CAGCACCGTGGTCCGGGATGCCCTTCCCTGTGCGGAGAGAAACTAAGGCCCTGAGATGAAGAGCCCTGCTGCCAGCCTGCAGAGGCCGAGAGCACTGAGACGCGGCTCCGGGCACCTGGACGTGAGTCTCAGGTGCCTCCCTCACTCGTGGCAGAGGCAGAACCCCAGGCACTGCCCCTCTGGCCACACCTCGGTTTCCCCATCTATAAAGTGAGGGCATGGACGTCTCAGATGCCTGTCAGCACCAACCTGCTACGATTCTCTCCAGGCTGGCTGCCTTATCCAGGGGTCTCTGCTGCCATGCATGGGACACTTGGGACGGGATGTGACCCAGGTGAGCATCTGTGGCCACTTGGAGAGGGCATATGAGCTAAACAGAAGGCCCCTGGCCCCTCGTGGTGCAAGTCAGAGCAAGGGCAGAGACCCTCTCAGGCAGCGGGCAAGCAGGTAGGTAGCAGCACCTCACTGGCCACCTGGAGAGGCCAGAGAAAGAAGAGTCCAGCCAGGGTGGAACTTTCGGTGGGTCACGAGGGGGAAGACATTGCTAGTGGGCACACCAGGAGCACAGGCATGGAGGCACCACGAGGGCGAAGCTGACGCCTGTGGGGCAGCAGTGGGGAGACGGTGAGCTGTGGGCACAGGCAGAGGGCACCGATCCTGTTGGCACAGAATGGGTTTCTGAGCACAGGCAGGGGAGCATTTGGGAGAGATAGGAGGGAAAGGAGAAGGCGGAAAAACGTGAGCAGGGGGCCTCTGTGGGGAGGAGAGAGGACAGGCCCTGGGCAAGGCATGGCAGAGGCTGGGGCACAAGGGAGATGACCTCGGTATCCGGCTGGGCCCCCGGGAGTGCTGAAGCCCACAGCAAGGGGCAGGAGGTGGGGCAGACACGAAGATGTCAGCTTTGATCCCGGCATCCAGGGGCCGAGGGAAGCCCAGCGTCCTGAGGTCCAGACTCCCGTCTCCAGGCTTGAGCTGTTCATCCACCAAAGGTGGGCCCTGGGCCGGGGCTGTCTGAGGGTGAGGGTCCCTCCCGGTGTGTAATTCTGAGTCAGGAGCGGAGCCCCGGATGGGAGCAGGCAGCCACACGGGAGGGGCGGCGCTCAGGCTCCCTGCTGCCCTCCGGGCTCCTCCCCTGAGCCAACAGCTGTGCCCCCCCTTGCAGCTCCATTAACACTCAATTAGGGGCCTGATGGGCTCGGGCCTGGAGAGCCAGCCTCACTCACAGGCCGGCCCTGCCCCATCAAGGGTGGGCCGGGCCTGATGAGCCCACCGGGAGAAGGCTTCCCTCAGATTTATAACCGAGCCTCACAGCTTCCCGGCCAGCCGGCTCCCTCTTCCTCCCTCCCAGGTGGGGTCCTGGGCTGGGAGGCTGGGAAGAAGGGCGCAGGAGGAGGCCGGGCCCTGGAGCGGAGGAAGTGGGAGGGGAGAGGTGAGGAAGAGCTGAGGGTGTGAGAGAGAAAAATGACAGGCCCTGAATATTGGGCGCCCTCACTTTAAATCAAGATAAAAGACTGAAGTGGAAAATGAGAGTCCGGAGAAGCCCCGGACGGCTCGGGGCGCTAATGGAAACACATGGCTGCCGGCTGCGGGCTTGTCAGCTTCCCCGGCGCTGCCATTCCCGTCTGATAATCCGGCCTGCCATAAAATTAGACTAGCAAATACCTCCTGACAAAGATGCATGTTTCTCTCTATTGTGCCATCATAAAAAAAACTCCGCTGGTGACTCGGGGAGCCGCAAACTTCAATTTAAATTTACAGTGCTGCGGAAGGAAAGTGATATGCACTCAAAAATTTTAATAACCTATTAAGTTACGACTTCAATTTCATTTTATGAATATTTTCCTTGGGGAGCACGGCTATCACAGAGAAAGATAGAAATTTAAAAAAGATAAATAGTGCCATTAATCTCCAACATTTCTCTTCCATTATCCTTGAAAATTAGGAGTTATTTTTGTTCAGATCTTCATGTAATTAGCTCCCTCCACTTGATTCACTAGCCAGAAAATGACCATGTTCAGAAAATTAAAAATTTGTCATTAAGTGGAATTTAACATAATATCATTTATCTTTATCTATTCCCCAGCTGACAGCAGGAAGCCTTGGCTGCCTCACCGGCTGGTAGGAGGACAGCGGGGAGGGGCATTGGGAAGAGACACTGGGAGAGACGGAGAGAGAGGCCAGGGAGGGAGGCACTGGGCGGGTGGCGGCCAGACAGGAGTGACGAGGGAAAGGGTGAGGCCTGGGGAGCTTCGAGCTCAGAGGGAGGCGGAGGAGGAGGAGGAGGAAGAGGAGGAGGAGGAAGAGGAGGAAG